ACATATTTATATATATATAAAGGAATGTATTTCATTAGACTCCAGTGGCATGGAAAATATGCCAAACAAGTGTAAGAATTTAAAAGAAAAAAGAGAAATTAAAAGCATGTATCTATGCTACTGTATGTATGTATGCTAGTGAATTTTCTTTTACTTTGGAGGACAATTTTGAGGGCTTTTTCACCTGCTACAGAGCAATTTTTTTTCCTTTTTTTCTTTTTTCTAATCATTTTTATTATGAAAAATATTTAAATAGGCAAGGAATGTGCCTTTTCTCTGCAGGCAGCTTGCAAAAGCTTTAGCAAAAATAAATGTCTCATATATTTCACATAGTGTAAAAGAAAAAAAAGTATTTTCTACTTATTTCACATAGTGTAAAAGAAAAAAAAGTATTTTCTACTTAAATTTATTAACTACTTCAGCGTTGTTTTATGATTTGGAAGAAGAAAATGCTGCTTGATTACTGGCAAGAAGCTACTGTGAAGCTGCCCTAGGGAGAGACTCAGTGCTGTGGACAGCAGTCTTGATGAGATCAACTTAAGTTGTGTTCAATTTTTATCTGTGAGAATATGTTTCTGAAGGTATAAAGGGGAATCTTTGTTATTATCTGCTTTTTTTGGGTAGAATCAGAGCCTTCAAGATACAAATGCAGATCTTGAGAGTAATTCAGCTAATGGAAGACAGCCCTGGCTCCTGATAATGGTAAGAGTACACTGAGTTTAGACAGTTCCACTAGAGTTTAATTCCTGACTGCCAAGATGGAAGAGAGCAACTCAGGAACTTGCAACTTTCTGAATGACAGCAAACTATTAAATTCACCTGAAGTGTAAGCAGCTTAAAGACTGATTAAATATGACAAACTAATGAGAAGAAATAGAAGACAGCATGACATAAACTGGATACATAAAAATACCCCTAGCAGGCCATCCTTCTTAGAAAAATAGACGTATTGGGGTTTTCACTTATGACCTTTAAATCGAAAGCTTATTTGGCAATTTAAAGACAAGTAATTAAATTAAATTGTGCAAACATATATTAGATCAATCTGTGCAAATTACAAATTCAGTGGTGCATTAGGACTGTATTCAATGCAATCAAAACATTATCAGTTACTCTCACTGCTATTAATGCTTATGCTCATAAGTGAAATGTGTTGTAAAATCAGGCAGAATAGGCTGGATAGAGGCTATCTTAGACTTGTAGAATGAATAAGCATTCCTTAATTAGCCCATCAGGTTAAGTGCAAGCCTTAATGGGCCTTTCCTAAAGTCTAGCATGACATCTTTCTCCAAACATGGCCAAGAAGAAAGTTCCATTAGCAATATTAATACAAGCTTAGTTGATCATTTTCATTCAATTAACTTCTTTCAATTAAATAGATAGCTTGACAAAAGCAGTGATAAAAGACCTGAAGGGACAGCTGATGACTCGTACTGAACATTAGTGTGCGAGAGGTCGCCAGTATTAAACAGACTGTAAATCTAGCATTCAATTTGGAAAATGCATTTCTTCTGCTCCCACTTCTTTAATGAGCAATTTTAGCTGACTAGATGTGTTTGCTGCAGAATTTTCATGACAAGTCAAGCACTCCTTTTTTTCGGCAACAGTTATATTAGGTTTTCCCCTGCCAATGTTTTCAGCTCCTCTTAACTCATGTCTTAGTTAGGATGCTGTGGATAAAACTAGCAGAAATGCACTGGTAGATATCCAGAAAGAACATACATTAGGTTTGCATTTGCTGAACCAGATTCACGATCCCATGAGCATTCCAGCAAACCCAAAAGGAGCAGTACCAACAAATTTTAGTAGAACACCAAGACCAACACGGCATGTTACCAATTTAGTGAAGCCTCTAATCTGATAGAGGAGTCCTTGAGTAATCATATGATTCAGTTAGTTCACACCTACCTAAAGTCATAATGACATGCTTAAGTGCCTTGCTAAACGGGAGTCCAAGTTAAAACCTATATTCTATACAGTAACTTTTTTTATATACAGAATGAGCATGAAAATTAAATTATAAGTTCCCAGAAGAAAAAAATTGTTACCAGAATTTAATTATTCAAGTTTAGCATACATGCCAAAAAGCAACCTTCCCAAAGCCATATTCCTTGTTAAAACTGTTACAAGTATAATGAGAGAAGAGAAAAAAAAACCAAAACACATGCTAATCTCATATCTTCAGCAGAAGCCTGAAAAATTTATTCAAGCATGTTCTGAAACTTTTTTATTTAAGCATGTTATTTTAACTTTTACTTTTGACACAATTTACCTTGAATAACTGAATCCACCTTTTTTGTTCCGTCTGTATACATTGCTGCATTTCTGTATTTTTTGTTACTCCAACACTTCTAAATGCTGCAATATATTCCTCACGAACCTCTGGTTTTGTTTCTGGGTAAGCCAACTTTATGATTCCTAAACATGCATCTCGAAGGCAGCGTGATAATATTACAAGCTCTTCTAGTGTAAAAGGCATCATTGATGATTGTCTTTGACCTACAACTGCATAAAACACGTTTAAGTTTCCTTAAATCACTTTTTCTTAATCACTTTGTTATTAAAAAAAACCCCACTTATTTCATTGGAACTTTAATATTCACACACAAAATCCAAAGGTAGAGAAAAGCAACATCACCCAAAAAGAGAACAAGAATACATTCATAAAGGGGATCAAGCCATGTAATCATTTGCAGTCACAATGATTTCCATTTCAATATTCTCTTTTTCTCTTGTTTGTATCCTGCTACATTACATTTTTACAGTAAACTACAGTTTCAGTCCAGAACAACTTCACTCTCTTCCCTTACTCATTAAAAATCATCACGATTAAGAACTTCCATATCAGACCCTGTAATGAGAGGGCTCCCAAGGTGCAGACAACTATTTTTTCCCCTCTATTTTCTAAATGCAATCACCATGAAAGAGCCAGCTGACAGTTGAGTGCTCAGGGGACGATCAGCAAGGCCGCCCCTGCGAGCCTTCCCCACAGATGTCAGCAAATCATTGCCCAGGGAACTCCTCAGCCTTGGACAAAACCATTTTGCAAAGCACTGCTATTCAGTATGCTTGAAACTCACCTTCTATTGGATCACCGAAGAATTCATTATCATGAATAGAAATAAGTGAATGACTAAACAAAGAACTAAAAAGGTAGAAGAGAGGGATAATTCGACTGGAGTCTTCTAAAGACATCGGAGAGCCTCTTGAAATCACCTGAAGAAGTGGCACCATAGAGCTTAAAATATAAAATGCAAAATTAAAGAGATGGTTAGTTAAATACTCAAAAATAGTATTAACTTCAGCATTCTAGTAAAAATATTTAGTAGCAGTTCCTACAGCAAAGTCGTAACAGCGCTCTCAGTTAAATAACTGCTATTTCCCATGCTTGCAAAATAAGGTTAGTCTTTTTAAGTTCTTGTCACTATAGTATCTGAGTCTCCTAATGATATATCAACTTTGGCATTAACTATTACAGACTGCATGTATCTTCTGGTTTAGAACGAGACACGAAGGGTAACTAATCTGCATGTCAGCACAGAACTAATCTGTAGGTCCAGTCCCTTGGTTCCTGGGATCACGGTTCTGCCACCATCAATTTCTGGACTAGTCACAGTATATAAAACTCACATACTTGGGGCTTCAGTGTTTGTTATACTAATGCGAGTAAGCATTCCTTACAAAACCTTACAAACTCAACTACAAAACCTTCCTTTAAATAAATATTTCATTTATTTACTGTAATTATTTACAACAGCCCAGTTTCCAAGATTTTGCTCAGTTCCACGAAATCACAGGACCTAAGTAACCATTACAGTTTTGGTTTTAATCACCTTCCATGACCAGTGTCATACCACTAATTTCCTCATTCTCTTTCCACTAGATATGCTCTATTTTAACCAAGACCCAGGTTCAGAAATGGTGTAATACATACCCTGTAATCATTCGTGTAGTCATTGAAGATATCAGATACCAAAGATGCCTCAGGAATCTGGCATTGAAGGCTAAACTATAAAGAAGCCTGCAAGAGCAAGTTAAAATAAATTACGTTTTCCAGAATACTGTATTGACAAAACACAACGCTCCTATAAACTACTCTGGCAAGCATTTATCAAACATTAACAACTTAAATTTCTTTTTTCAAGATGGAGGTTGTTATTTTAATTAAATCTCGTAAAAGGCCGAAATGTTGAAAAACAAGTATCTACGTCCTTATACCTAAAATACACAGGTTTTCATTAACTCAACAACAAACCACACAATATAAATCCAAGCTTGCAGTATTCCACAGAATTAAACATGCATTAATAAAAATAACACACACTCTGAGTTACTTATCTGGGGTTTTTTTATAATTCTAATAAAGAATAATCACACCAACTAGTCAACAGGGCACTTCTGTGGTTCTTCTGACATGAAAAAACATAGCAATTTTTGCAAAAAGTAGATTAAAATACCTTAAAGTTAATTTATGCTAGAAGCAACCATTGATTTAAAAATATGTAGCAATTTTACTGGTGTATTCTGCACGGCAGATATATACATAACAACATCAACGGAACAACATCTGTCAGGACAGCACACATACATGGACACCAATCCACCTGTAGACAGAAAATGGTTTATACACCTGCAAAAATAAATGTGTATGTTCACAAGTCAGTTATATACAGGACTGTCTTTAACCATATGATTTCAGACATGATTACAGCATGATAAATTTTTTACAGAAATGAGAAATAAAAAGCTTCCTGAAAATAAAAGTCTCCCACAGACTATTTCATCCCCTGCAGAAAGCAACGTCTGTGACAAACGTAATTTGAAACAATTAGTATCTTCTAGGAAACCAAAGAGAATTTGACTAAAAACAACTAAACTGTTGTTTTTCAGATACTGAAGAACTATATTCAGCTAGTTATCCCAAATGCTATTTTCCCTGCTCTCCTAATTATTATCACAATAAATATGCTAAAACAGGCCCACACAGACAGGCCCACATCTCCTCTGAGATAATATCATAATATCAAAATATCATCATATCATAATATCAAAATCTAACCTCATAATATCATAATATCAGAGGTCACTATCCTCATAATATCATAATATCAGAATTCACTGTGACTATGTGTACAAGAGGTAGGAAGCTGGGAAATGGGAGCAAGGAGGGTAGACTAGCTGCTGCCTAAAAAAACCCAATATTTATTATGGACCACATGGATAAATTAAAATTTGCCAGATGGCAAAAGGAAAGGAAGCATACATTTCATTAAGGAAAAAACTAAAATACCAATGAACAAAAACATTTGAGAATGGTTTAAGCGGCAATTCATTTAAAGTCATTAAAACAAAAAACCCAGAAGAAAACCTCCATGCCTGCTCACAGACCAAAACTGCCGAGTGCCATATGCCTCTGGGTCCTCGCTTACTGGCTGCTGAAGCCCTGCGGGCTGTTTTGGCTGCCTTCGCTGAAGTACAGCCTCTCTCACGCATCCACACAGCTGGTCCCTTCTTGGGGCACTCAACTCACAGGCACTCACACAGACACCGCAGCGTGCAGAAGGGCACAACTCTTCACTGAACAGGCAGGACAGAGTTTCACAGGTACAGGGAGTTTTGGAAGGAGAATGGGGGCATGCAGAAGGAGAGAAAGTGAAATACAAGCAACCTCTGTCTTTGCTGAAATATCATCCCTCTTGTTTCCAAACTCTGATTTTTAAATACATAGGTCACAACCTTTAGAAACAGTTGGGAGCCTAACATATTCTGGAGAAGTCACATGGGGTGGTCATTACTATGTTTATGTCAACTCTGAAGCAACTGCAAATATTGCCAATTTCATTTAAGTTTTATTGCAAAATTAAGTTCTACTTTAAATATGTGGAATTTCTGAAAAATTCCACCTGTGATACATGGGAATTACTTCCTTCTAAAGTCACATTATTTTGACATTTGGGTGGAAATTATGCATTCTCATGCAAGGAAGGTCTTCTTATATCTAGCTAATTTAGAATAAGGATTTGTATTTTAATGTTTAAGTATCTGAATGATAGCTCAGATGTCTTGGTTTCTGAAATGAGAGATTTCCTCACTGACCTTCAGTTTTCAGCCTCATATTTGAAATTAAAAGTAATTTGGCACAGTGCCGTTAGGTCTCATAGGGCTTCCAAGTAAAAACTTGTTAATTTTACAATCACCCCTGGAAATTATGTAATAGTTTTAGCAGAAATGAACAAACATTATGGACACTGAACCTATCATCATGTAATTCATTTTTTCATTCTAGCAATGTTCAGCAATAATGAAGGGAAAAAAAAGGACAAACCTTAAGAGCTTATAATAATAACCTTTGTCTATGTTTTAGCCATTTCTATTCCATATCAGTGATTCAGGCAGTCAATTGTAGCAACTGCTAGATTTCATGGCCCGATTCCAGAAATGCTGAATGTATTCAACTTTCCCATTTCCCTTCCCTGAAAATCTGGTTAAATGCAAAAATGCAGATTTGACAGAAGATATTGTCATACAGCCTATTCTGTCTATATGAAATACCTATGAAGTAGATGAATTCTAAAGTTTCCATACCATTACCAGAAAATAAACAGAAGCATGAGTTAGGCCTTGCGTTACCAAAATTTTACATCACTAGATTCACCAGAAATATAATCCGCTACAGAAGGAATAACAGCAGAAACAACCTACTCCCCTTGCACTCCAAGTATAGAAATTAGCTTTCAAAGTAAAACGTAACAACGGTAACAAAAAAAACCACACAAACTCCCACACAAAAACAAACCACAATGCAAGGATGGCCTTGAAAAGTCATTTATCTGCAAAATTGCAAGAAATTGGGTGTTCTAAAAAGTTTTAAAATTTTCGATTTCACGTTGGGAAACAGATATAAAAAAGCCTAAAAAATTTTAAATTAAAAAGTAAAAAATATAAACTTTGAGAATTAATATAGATCAAAATCTACCTCATTTGGTCTTTTTCTTTGGCAGAGAAAAGATGTGCATCTGCAAAACAACCCCTGCATTTCCAGACAGAACCACATTACAGTCACACAGCGCAAGATGGCAATTGCTGATCAACTGCAGAACTACAGGGATAGCTTATCTACCCTGCAGACAAAGCATTATCAATCCACAAGTTCAGACATCAGTTAATGTAAAGCTTGAATGTCCACGTAATCTTGATCATTTTTTCCTTTAAAGAAATAAGCACACACACAAACACTAGAAATCAGAAATATTAGACATCATTTCCTTTTATGTAAATTTTTATTAACAAATGCAAGGGTTTCATCTTCAATATTTGTACCATTCTAAAAACAAAACAAGCGGCTGAAGTTTAAACCCCGGGTTTTTACCCGCTTCATGTGGCAGTTCTGCCTTTTCTTCAGCCTCACTGCATACGAACTTCTTCATTATGAGATCATTATACACGGGTTTATAGAAAGGATTCATTAATAGATTTTCCAAAATGTTTAGTATTTAGATTTAGCACTGTAGTCTGGGAGAAGAACCATTTTCCAACTACCAGAAAGGATAAGCTCTTTTCAAGTGGAAAAACACACACTGTTCTCAGACACAGGCTATGGTAGAGTTAAATTCACTCCAGTGATTTCTGCTAAGTATCTATTTTAATCATACCAAATTAAATTATCTGCTCCCAAAAGCAAGTACATAACGACCATTTATTTAGAACCTTGTTTCTCTCCCTAGGTATCTAATTGTCCACAAAGGCCACATGATTTATGTGTACTTGCCAGAATGGTATTTTGGGCACCTCTGGTTTAAAAAAAAGTGTTAAATTCCTCCTGCGCAACGGGACAGATTAAATGACCCATTAAGCTTAATTTAGCTGAGGCACCACTACAAGTTAATTAGTTAAAGGCAAGATTTTCAGTCTAGGCCATAAATTGGGCCCAGTTTCCCACTGAGACCATTTAAGTTAATGAAGAGAATACACTAGAATGAGAGGAGCTCATACAGTCTGCGAAAGGTCACTGCTGCCAGGGCAGCGGGTTCTGACACTTCAGAACGGCACGGTGTCACAGGTAGGAGAGACAGCACGCAAAGCCATCGTTCAATCAGCTGTGCCGCTCCTGAAGCTGTCGTATGCTTCTGCCTCTCTTTGAACGGGACCAAGAATGCAAAGCAAGGCTTAAAAAAACAAAGTTAAAACTTCATGTACAATGGTTCTGGTTTTATGCAAAAGACAACAGTGTAAGGACATTCCCTGCAGAATTACTAACACAGCCTCATGTAAAGCCTAAGCATCTTCAGCACACGTATGAAGACAGGCTGCTTGTATTACACCAGAATGTTAGTTTTCCAAACAGTTTTCAACCACAGGTTATAATTAGCAATATGTTAATTAAACAGTAGTAATGTAAGGTCACTACTAAACTGTGAAACCAAGATTAGCAGTTACTCTGGGGCTGATCAGACAGCTGACAGCGACTGATGTCCCAATACAAGCACAATTTCCACCGCTATTTAGTATTAAGCCACAGTGATGACACGATTTCTATGGTATTGAATTACGCCTCTAAATATTTTGTAGAAACACAATTTACTAGTCATTTGAAGTATAGTTTTGATGAACAAACGTCTTGCAAATCTCTTTATAATGAGAATTACACTCCAAGACTCGTGTTTTCTTCCCCCGTCCTTTTTTTTTTTTTAAACATTAACCATATTCAACAATATATCTCAACTTCTCAGTGACAAGATGAAAGCCCCACCCCTCTCAAAACAAGTACAATTCCCACTGACTTCATTACAATCAGGATTTTAACCTACACCTCTCATCTGGCTTACTGAACACTAGCTGCAGCTAGGTTTTTCCAGTCTTGTGGCCTTTTTCTTTAATTGAGTTTGATTGCATCTTTCCAGAATTTATTCAGAACGTACCAAAACTGCTAACAACTAACCAAAAGCAATGTGTTTTTCCAGTTATCCACCCTTGGATCCCACCATTTCTGTAGAGAACCAGAAAGGAACTTCAGAGCCTTGCTCCTTCTGTTCAAAACATTGTACTTTTAGGTATCTTGTTCTGTCCTCTCTTGGTCTCTGTTGCAAAACCAAAGAAACTACTGAGCTAATGCAGCAACAGCAACGTTCCTAACACCATATATCATCATCATCACCAGGAAAATCAAAGATGTAGTCAGGAGCTACAAGAAGAAAAAGCAGTGACACTAGTCTATATTATCTCTTCTCAAGAAAGAAGCCTCAGAACTATTAAAACAGATTTATTTCTTGGTTTCTCCCTTCCAAACCCTGTGTTAACTTCAGTCTGATTTTCTTTACACTTACTGAGAAGTTATTTTTAGTTATTATTCTACTTAGCATCCCACTTGGCCAATTTGCAGCCTTAATGTTTTCAATTATCATTATTTTCTATTACAGTTGTAAATGCTGTTAAATAAGCAAAGTCTTTGTAAGAACCTTTTCTATCTTTTAAACCATTTGACTCAGTAAGTTTTAAAACAGAAAAAAAAAAAATTTGGCTCTTAGAATATATTAAAAATAATTTTAAATAAATTATTTCTGCCTAAGTATTTAACATGGTTTAATTAAATAGATATACTTTACTCTGAATATGAAGTAATTTAAAAGTTAGTTTCAAAAGACTATCATTCAATTTGACAAAATTATTTGGGCAATTAAAGAAAAAAATCACCAGGCAATTAAAAAAAAGGAAAATTAATGACAAAATATCTTTTAATTGTCTTTGAAAACAGCACGATGTTTACTACCTTTAAAACAAGCACTAAATGTCCTTTGAAAAATATTCAAAAATAATGTTTAGATTAGCAGCCTGATAACTTAGGCCAGGCCTAAAATGCACTGAGAACAGGGCAAAAGACTGACACCTCCTGACGCAGTGATGCCTGGCAAACCCAACACTTAGGATGGACTTGGAAGTCAGAACTGGTCATTAAATGTCAACTTTAATTTACCAGGTACCTGTATGAATTAACTTCATTTTGACCATGAAAGCAATTCCATGGGTATTACTGAACATGAATCTTAGTTCCTCTACTACTTATTTCTAAAATGTGTACAACTATTTTGGAGCTATTCAGAAGTTAGAATTTGTAAATTGTTTTACGTTATAAGATGCTGACCAGACCTTTCATAATTCCTGAACTCACAGAGTGGTAAGGGTTGGAAGGGACCTCTAGGGATCATCTAATCCAACCCCCAAAATTCCTGAATTTATCTAATGTGTAACTAGCTTGTTATCACAAATAATTGCAAAGACCCAGTTTGGCTTCTCAGAGGAAATAGATGCCATACTCATACAATTAAAGTTGTGTGACTTCTTCATTCATTAAACACCTTTTTCCACACAGTTCACCATGAAAACCTCAAGTCAAAGCAGTGATGCATTTAAACTCAGTAATTACTATCCGAGGCAATGTACTACTTGCAACAATAAAGCAGGCATACTAATTCAACTGCTGCTATGATCTTCTGGTCTCACATCCTGCTCTAATGCAATTAGTCTACAAAGAACTAATTACCCTAATCGAGCAATCACAGTTTCACTGACATCTTACTTCCTCTGACGGCTATAAACACCACTGGGCTAAGATAGCACCTAATTAGTTTTCTGTATCATTGTTTACAATGCAGTTTGAATTGATTATGTTTACAGCATTCCCTAAATACTTACTTTACTACCAGCAACCACATACTTATTCAAAACTACTTGCACCAGAACAGGGTTAATACTTCTGGGTCTCAGTCTGATGATAAAAAGGTCAAAAATCTTCTTCCATTGTTACCGATATTGGTGGTTTGCAGTCTTTGCAAAGGAATGCTGTACAAATGAACAAGATGCTTATCTCCATCTCTGTTGCCAAAGCCCTTCCCCAACAGTGATTTTCAAAAGCTAGGAATCGTAATTTGTAGCAAGAGAGGTTTGTCTATGTATTAAAAGGGGTAGAGAACAAGTTGGTTTCAGTGCTCAGCTGGCTAGAGAGAGACTGTCAAATCCCTATCACTGCAAGTTTTAAAAATGATTTAGACAAACTGCTAGAACAACACTTAACAGTGCCTGTGAGCAAGGGGACAGACAAACACCTTTCACAAATCTTTGCAATCCCTATTTGTGTGCAATTTTCTGATCACAAACACTACCCGTCCCGTAGTTCTCAATGTGGTGACAGAATACTAACTTATTTGCAACTTTCTATATAAACCAAGACCTTACACTTTTGGATTCAGTGACTACTCCAGAGAGCAAAATGAACAAGAAAAAAAATAGAAACAGAATGAATCCACACTTTGGCTTGCCTGGAATTATTATTTAAACTCTGAAATTCTTATTCATTTCAGCTGATCATAAAAGAAAACACAGAAACACACACACAGCGCATATTTAAACCAAGTCTATCTAATAAACCCAATTGCAGACGTAGTACAGTTCAACATCACTATTATTTATACTTGCCTGACTTTTGGCACCATCATTCGGTGTTGTACCATTAGCGTGTGGCAGATGGATGCCATCAGGGTAAAGACCTCTTCACTAGCTGAATCTCTCCAAACCATATTCAGTAGAGTGTTTGTCTGTTGTTTAGTATCCAATTTCTTAAGACACTCCTCAGTTATGTACTGAACTGATATTCTCCCATCACCCTACAAACATATCAAAGAACAGTTTGCTTGAAGCCTTTTTAATGATAAAATACCCTCTTTTAAAAACAAAAAGAATCAGAAATTTAGTGGAACGTGAAGTTTTCTTGCATGATAATTGAAACATAAGCACATATGTATAATCCCAGTGGCATTCTTAAAAGTATCAGACCTAAGACCCAACTTGCCCTAGGTAGGCAACTGTTGGGTTGTGGTATTACTCTTTTCAGTCAGGCCAGTGGGAAAATCTCCCTTTAATGTAAGCATGTTTTGCAATACTTGGACACAATAAAGCAAGACCATTTACTTGCGTAAGATATGCAAATAGTCACCTTTTTCCCCACTGAGATCAGGCAGAACTGGATATGAAATCTAAATCTCCCTTTAATGTAAGCATGTTCTGCAATACTTGGACACAATAAGGCAAGACCATTTACTTGCGTAAGATGGAAATAGTCACCTTTTTCCCCACTGACATCAGGCAGAACTGGATATGAAATCCAGAAATGGATGTCTAAAGTTCCTTTACAAACAGTATTTTCTCATTCATAATCCATGGGTTAACAAACATAAAAAAACTGCAGGGTGGCAACAGTATTTTCTCATTCATAAAATGAATGAGAATGAAAAACTGCAGGGTGGCTCACACACGTTTGGGCAGTACCAGAAGTGTATGAACTGGAATGCTTTCTCTTAGCACAGAAGTGAGTATAGCTCAACCTTTTCTTCTCCAGTGACAGGACTAGGGGCAATGGTCATAAACTGGAAAACAGAAGGTTCAACCCAAACATGAGGAAACGCTTCTTCCCTGTGAGGGTGACAGAGCACTGAACAGGCTGCCCAGAGAGGTGGTGGAGGCTCATTCCCTGGAGACTTTCAAAAGCCGCCTGGACTTGTTCCTGTGTGATTGCTCTAGGTGATCCTGCTCTGGCAGGGGGCTTGGACTCGATCTCTAGAGGTCCCTTCCAACCCCTACCACCCTGTGAATCTGTGAATTTCCTCCCTTTATCTTCCCCCAACAGAGCAAAGCAGTCCAGCTCACTCAGGGATAAAGTTATCAATAACGCATGTTTAAGGAAGAGGGGCTCCCGACCCATGCCCTCTTTTTTTTTCTTTGTAAGTAAAACATGCATAGATGAAAATATGGAATACGTAAAACCGCACAGGCAAAACATACGAAAAATTTCCTGCAATAAACACTATTATGTATTAAAGCCTCCTCAGAGCAGATTTTCTCTAATTTACAAATTACTCTTAAGTTACCTGTGAACAGAAATTTATGCTTTGTTTTTACCTAATGGCCTCCTAAACATCACCAACATTTCTAAACTGCAAGTAGTACCCGCCAGAGAGGTTACTCTCAATATCAAGGCCTTAAAATTACTGAATCTTTCAGAAATGTACATCAGCTTACATGAAATGTAAGTAGGCACTATGGAACAGTATCTCTTAGAAGAGCTGGCACAGTTTTGCTTTCAACACAACCAAGAAAATGCCAGGAAGTCTTAGAATACCTGAGAGAGAGAAATTTAGAATTTCCTGCTCAGCATGGGGAGGTGAAATAATCTGAGACACTTTTTTTAATGAACCCTAATGTGGTGAAATTGCACACATTCCACAAGGAAAGACTGCACACTGCATACGACCTTTTGAATGGTAGTGTCTTTTCAGAGATTATATAAAGGCCAATAAGAAACTGTCGAATTTACATCTCTCAAAGTTCGGTTGTTCAAAGCCTTGATCCAAGTGTTAGGAGGTTAAAGTTAGCATGGATTCATTTTACTGGTGGAAGTGCAAACTGTATTGGAAGTCCTATTTATAATACAGTCTCTATACACTATTACAGAAAGCAGGTGTTCCCCCCCGAGGGCCCTCAGGGTAGTGGATATATTTACATACAGATCTAATTTTACAGAGTAAAGACTGTAGGTGAACTTGTAATACTTCCACGAGGAAAAAAAATAAAAGAAAATACTAAGTTGGAAGATCAGACTTGGTATATTTCATGATATCATATCATCATCACAGACTTGAATACAGAGAGTAACACAGCTTCTGTACAATACAAATCTAAAGTTTGAATTTTTTTTAAATAAAAGCTGTTCCTCAGCAGACACACTACCTACACTTAAAGATTTTTTTATTATATTAAGGGTTTGTTTTTAACATAAGTAACCAGTTCCATTTGCTTACAGTGAGCAGCCATCTGTTTTTAACAAGTAAACATGCTCCGTTCTACAGGTAGCTAAAAAAATACCGGACTTCTGGTGATTATGTTTTTGCCTATATGTGTTGCTGCTATAATGCAAATTCATTCAGAGAAATTCTGTACTGCTTACTGGCGTAGTTGTCATTTTACTGATCTCTTCATCCTCATCTTCAGAATCACTGTTTGCATCTTGACAGTTTGTACCAGCGGTAGACACAGGCAGCTGAGAGAGAAAAGTTTGGAGTACCCTCAAAAACACAAGAAGTCCTTCCTCTGAAAGGGATCCTACAGCACAAGCATTGAAATAAAAAAATCATTAGCCAGACCACCCTGTACCATAAAATGTATTTTACCAGAAATAGCTGACCAAAACCACATTATGCCAAATCTTCCCAAATTAAGTCTATTCTTTACTGAAAAGGGTAAGAGCTAATAAAACAGATCTCTCCAATACTTGTATCCACAAACTGTCCTTTTTGCTTGGCAATGAACCACATTGTGGAAATATGTAAGATATTACCCCAAACATGAAAAAACAATGAACTGGCCATTCAGATTTCTCACCCAAATATGTTTCTCCAACTGTTAACACAAAGTAAAAGAGCCATGGGGCTTGATCACTTCTTCTTGAACATCCACTTTCTGCTAATAATAGTGCATTCAGAAAGAGTTCATAAGGGAAAATGGTCTGCACATCAGCAAGCGCTGGAATGATGAAATGGAATATCTGATCTGTAAAAGGTGCTGCCAGAAACTCCTCTGTGAAGGCTGCAAAGATCTGCTGCCTGAAATGAAGAAAAAACTGTCTTTATAGAAAATACAGGCAAAATTTCCCACAGTTATATCCATGGAATAAATACATCACTTTGCAAGTTTGAACACATCCATCAAGGCTGCTAAGATGCACTCTATTAACCCCATGCTAATAAACCAAATTTCTCAGATTTCTCAAAACTAACTCCTTACACTACATCCTTTTCCTGATGATGTTACATGTAATTTTATCCTTTAAACTTTTCAAGAACTCAGAGAAAATTATTCTGAAGTTAAATTTGTTGTTTATAATCTTGATATAAAAAATAAATTTAAAAAGCACAGTTAGTCTCTTTTCCCCAAAACACTATCACATGTGATATAAGCAGAGTTTGACTTTTGTTCCACCTTTCTACATACCCAACTCTTTCAACTTGTAAGCTATGACTTAGTTATTTCTCTCCATAAACCTGTCACTAAGTTCTTTATAACTCCAAAATTCTTTTCATCTGCCTTTAGCTGCATCTCTAATCTCATCTAAGTTTTCCCACACCTATGTTCCTATGCACTGTGATACCTGCTATTCTCTGTGCTGTTTATTGTACTCCAGCATTTTATTGCTTTTTTCTTAAACACACCTGAAACTACACTGTTTCACCAAAGTACAGCATTACCAAAAAATCATTACTACTGAAAATAAATCAACAAAATGCACAGAAAGAATAGCTAGACACTCAAAAACAAACTGCGCACATCTGACAATAACAAGAATACAAATATCTAGTATTATCTTTATTTACCTTGCACCTTCTGGACAGGAGCTATATGTAAAGTGCAATGGCTTCAGAACATTCTCCAGAAGTATTTTTGCAATAGGGACTCGAAAAACATCAGAATACTCAATACTCGAGGGAAGCTTATTGTTAATTAACAAATAAAGCGACTTGTAGTAGCCTGCAAGTAAGAAACATCACTTATTAAATATAGGGTTTTTTTTCTTTTCTGTATTAAAAAAGATCTATACACTTAACATTTTTAACTTAACACTTTACAATTCACTACATGAAGCTTAACTTGGGAGGATGTTTTACAATAGTCCAAGTCACATTTGGTAACTAACAGGATTGCATTCAGAGTCAGCTTGATTTTCAAATACTGACCACTCCTGCTGCTGAAGTGAATAATTCCATTTTGTTTTAATCAATGACCTATGAAAAAGATATTCTTTTCTTTCAGTGACTCTAATCGTGTTATTGATACTTGTCCTTCCACCCTTTCAGAAATGATGTTTTTACCCTCTTCTCCAAAACATGACTGCATCATACAGTTAAGAGTCCTGCTGGAACAATGTCTCCACTGTATAAACATCTCACTTTAGCAAGCTGGAGAATACAATCCCTGTTCCCAAAACAGCAATTGTCCCACAGTAATAAAATGCATTACCAGCCAAGCCATAAAGACACGTGTAGAGGGTAATCTATCTTTTTCTCACTAAAGTACAAATGGAATCATGTGATTTCCTTCTTCTCAAACCAAGTTGCTCTTGCTCAATGAACTCCTAAACCAGAGACACAAGTTCCACTACCACAGGAACCACCGTAAATGCATGAACAGTGTCACAGCTGTCCAGTCTAAGGCCCTTTGCTGCGGTCGACCCAGCTCGACATGCAATGCAAGAAGATGAAGTCATCATAAAGGAAAGACTTAGCAACGCTGACAAGACACACATGTAAGACCAATTACATACAAAAACATGTACTAATAAATGCTGGTTACAGATTCTTTACAACTTGACCATCATAACTGATTCGGAGACAGAGTATGTGTAGTTGCACACAAGCGCTTCCTTGTTTTAAGGGATCAGAAAGACGAATTTTCTTCCTAAAATTTATCTCTAACATTTCGAAAAACTTTTATATATGAGTTGTGAAAACTAAATATTATACCAAAGGAACAAATATAAAAGTATTTGGGAGATATGCTTATTATATACTAAGCAATGAGACATGCAAAAATATTTCTATACCTGTAGTTATGCCTAGGCAAGTAAAACAGATCTGCTGCAGTAACAGTCTCTTCTTTTTCCTCATAGTGACTTCAACACGTAGTAGTTAAAACCAAATCCTTAGCAACAGCAGAAGATAGCCTAGTCCACCGAACACAGTTCAAAACTTGCACCCATAGATTCATTCCAACAATTAACTAACAAATTGGAAGGTGCCCTTTTTGTTTTATATCAACACAGCTGGTTCTGAGATGTTTATTTCATAATGCTTTTGTCTTTTTCTCCATCTACAAGTCTTGCAAACTCAAGCTACAGTACCAGAAAGCCAAATGAACTTTTTCCCACATTCCCCGAGTAATAAAGTTTCTTGGAGACAAAACATAATTTTGGTGATAACCACACAATCCATTAACTTTCAGTATGTTTGTACAGGTGCAGCTGACTGCAGTTTAGCAAACAGTTTTGCTGACGATGGTACAAGGGAAAGAAAATCTAAGTCACCATCTCTTTGCTAAGGTGTCTGTAGTGTCAGCGGGATGAAAACATAATGCCAATTTACGGTGATAACAAATGTTAGTAGTTACAGTGAACAGTACTGCCCAGCTTTTACTCAACTAAAGCTCAGATACGCCACGGTGTGTGTGCATGTGCACATGTGCGTGTAAACAGCTACTGGAACACAACTTTAGTTAGGTAATAACCACCTACTCTCAAAATCCATGGTAAAAATCTGTATAAGTAACTTAGTGGAATATTCAATTTATAAACAGAATTTCCAACGTAATTTCTCCAACATCTCATTACAAGCAAAATATCCATTTAATGTACAGGTTAGTGTATGCAGCACTTAAATCATCGTGTCTGTGCTAAAGGCGAAACGTGAATAAACAACATGGTCTTTAGGTATTGCACATTCTGTACCAAATTTCTAGTTTCTTGCTACTCACCTTTTTGAATCATGTAGTGCAAAATTTGTTCAATTAATGATGTCACATAGCTGACATCTTGTAAAACAGGCAAATATGTATTCTCAGATGAAAATACCTCAAGCATTCTCATAGGAAGTGCAACATTCAGACTGTCATCTTTGCAATTTTGCAATAATCTGTAAATTAAATGAAATCAAAATTATTTTACAAGATACTTCTTATTTCACCACAGGCATATGCACACTGGTTTAAAAATACAACTACAAACTTTCCACATTCACCTTATAATGACTTATTTCTACTTGCTTTTCAAGTGTTCCCAGTAGTTTAACTACATCTTTTTGTTGGCACCTTTATAAGAGTAATTCCTGATTTCAGGGTTTCTATGAATACGACACTCTCTCTTTAAATCCTACTAAATTCTTGTTTTCAGTGACTTGACAGTTTGGAGGTCTACTGTATGAACTGGAAGAGAAGCATAGAATAACACATGTTTTTCCAACATGTATTACTACACATATTAAAAATGAAGTCATGAAGGCCCCAGAGCACTATGGGCTGGGAACAAATGCTGGCGAACGTCAGATGTGTAACTAAAACAATATGCCCTTGATTGCAGTCTGAAATATTAAAAATACTACCATCCCCATCATTTTAGCAAATTGCTTATGAAACAACTACCAGTAATAACAGAAATGGTGAAGATTAAGAGTCTCTTTAGAATTAAAGGGATTTGTTAGTAGGACATGTATATAGGCATAGTTGCCCGAACAATGTGCTTTCTTCCCCAGACATTCAAAAAGATGGGACCTATCAGCAAAAATTATTTTGACACCACAGCTAAGACATTTCACTAAACAGAAAAAAAGATACTCTGACAACAAGACCTTTCTTGCAGATGTAGCTGCAATCAAACTACCACTTTTTGCTACGACATTACACGGTCTCCTTTTTTTCCACAGCATCAAAAGTTAAAGCTTCTCATAAATCTGAACTTATCCCAGCAAAACGCTCTTTTGGCTACCTGTCCCACTGCCTGCTTTCTGGGCTTTTGAGAAAAAAAAAATGAAGTAGCTCAGAAAGCAAGCAGAGACACCCATCATCAGGCTGGCAAGGTAATGTTACGAAGAGCTTCTTCCTCCATTGGTTCTATATGGATAGGCAGGGACAGCTCATCCACTCCTTTGTTTCCCCACATCACCCAATCAGGGAGAGTGGGAACACCAACAGAGCTGCATTTACACAACCACACTTTCAACTGTAGTGAAAATGTACAATTCAAGTCAGTGACACCACAGCTGTGCTCCACTGTACACAGACTTTGAAGCCCACCACTCAAGCCTTCTTTAGTATCAGGTGTCACTACATTACACACACAGTATACACAACTGTAAGAACACAAGGTTCAGTGACTTGAATGAAACAATTTTCTAGAAAAGCCTCAACACTAAAAGGAAAAAAAAAAACACCACCCACCACTGTTATAAAGCACAAGAGAGTGCAACTAGTTCCTATTACTGATAAGACCAAATACACTGTTTTCTAAAACTAGGCTTTAGCTGCCAGCTATTCAAGTGGCCTTGATAGATATACCTTCCTGTGACCCTCCCACTACAAATAATAAATGTACTGCTGAAGCCAGTAATGTAACTGCTTAACATGCCTTGAATTCCAAATGAAGGGTGAAGAAAGGCATCTTAAATAATATCAGTTTTAAAACAAAACATATCCGAAGCATAACCTTGGAACATTTAACTCAAATACCTTCTAATCACTATCAGTTCCCAAGAAAACCTTCTGGTTTCCACAGGACCGATAATTATATTGTTATATGCGAACTGTTGAGAACATACTTAAGCCTATCCCTAGGCAGGGTATCCCTTAAGCACATGCTGAACTTGAAAGCCAACAGAGCTTAAGAACACTCCATTGTTCTTACATAGGAACAAGTATCCTTACCATGGCCTACATATATATTTAATGTAAACAGTCCTTTCTGTAAAATAGATTTACATTTAATATTTCACCTGCTGCAAAAAGAAACAAGTGCCCCATATAACTTCTGAACATTTTTGGACAGTAGCATGTAGAAAAGGAGAGTTTACCTGCAACACAGCCCCAACAGTCTTTTTATTTGGAATAAGCAAGTAAGTCTGTCCGGACCATCCAATTGCTTGACAAACTGAGAACTCTGTTTAATTAAATTCTGACACATCCAGACCTGGGAAAAGATATGCACAAATTCACTGTTTGTAACAACAAGCTGTATTATTTATGGCAACGCAGTAATGTTTCCATCCTGTTTTGGATACCTCTGGAGGACTTAAAAAGCACAAAGTAAGACAACAGTGTTCAGCTAAGGAAAAAAAAAAATTGTTACACAACAAACTACACAACAGCTAGTGCTAAAATTTCAAAGTTAAGACTGAATTAGACTTATAAATAACTTTAGCCTTGCAAAAATTTATGTTGATTTTTTTCTTGTTAAACAGACATAATTCTGTAATAGCCATTATTAATACCTGTCATAAATCATAGTTACTCGTACATTTGGGAAGTTTGCAGTGACTCTGTAATTGATAAGCCAGCATTATTGACCAGTGAGGGAGGAAAAAATAATCCCAAACACCTTATGAATGATTGGAGTGCTAAGTGGAAACCAGTGTATTAAAATTAAATTTTTTAACAAGTATATTATTTTTAATAAATTACCATGAACAATATGCACAGGCTTCATTCCATGGATGAAATGGAATGGTGTGCATGTGAGTGTGCATATATAAAATGTGATTTTAAGTTATTCTGTCTAAATAAAAAACAGTAGAGTACAGGAGAATGTAAGCCAGCAAACACCAGAATTCTTAAGTGAATTCACCTAAGTGCTCAAAGCCTTTTTTGCATCCCTCAAAATCTTCTAAGTGAAAGAATACTTCAAAAGTGCATCAAATATTAAGTACTACATATCACAATATGTAACAGTACTCACCAAACGCTTAGAATCCTCATTCTGTCTATAGAAAAAGAGTAACTGACGAACTAAAAGGGTCAAATTAGCTCCATTAGCAGTGGAAAAGGTTCCTCCAGACTGGGCCAAATTAGCACAGCGATCAAATTCACTTCTTTGGATAGAGTACTTAAAAAAAAAAAAAAAGCAACAATATATCAATAATGGATATGGGTTGAAACAGAGATGCAAAATTTTTAAAATCCCATTTCAGTTTCCCATCCAAAGTAGTAAAATGAATACAACACACTTGTTAAGAGATCAAAATATACATACAGCATCATAAAGCCATAATTGCTTTCTGTAATTCAAAGATTTGCAGATTCACAGAGTGGTAGGGGTTGGCAGGAGATCATTGAGTCCAAGCCCCCTGCCAGAGCAGGATCACCTAGAGCAATCACACAGGAACAAGTCCAGGCGGCTTTTGAAAGTCTCCAGGGAAGGAGAGTCCACCACCTCTCTGGGCAGCCTGTTCCAGGGCTCTGTCACCCTCACAGGGAAGAAATGTTTCCTCATGTTTGGGTTGAACTTTCTGTTTTCCAGTTTATGGCCATTGACCCCAGTCCTGTCACTGGATACCACTGAGAAGAGCCTGGCCCCATCTTCCTTACAGCCCCCCTTTAGATACTGATAAGCAGTGGTAAGATCCCACTCAGCCTCCTCTTCTCCAAGCTGAACAGACCCAGCTCTCTCAGCCTTTCCTCATACGGAAGGTGCTCCAGGCCCTTCATCATCTTAGTGGCCCTGCGCTGGACCCTCTCCAGCAGTTCCTTGTCCTTCTTGAGCTGAGGAGCCCAGAACTGGTACAGAGTACACATTGCAACAAATTTGTTGCTTTTCAAATAAAGAACATCACATCGAACATTTTCCTCTAGTTTAATCAATAAATATTAGAAAATTTAAACAGATACAACTCTTTGAGTATCATTTATCCAACAGCAACTTAGAACATTTTTTTGACTCGCACTACCACCTTAGTCATACTGGCAAAAAAGCTCCACTGGTGTGTGAAAGCTGCTGATACCAAACTTTTCATAGGCTTTGTCAGCTCAAAAAACCATCGCGTAATCTCCCTGGAGCCCACTGTCACACAAATGCTCTGCGGAATAAACGTCCATCTACTAAAATATTGAGGCTCAAATGAAAATGACAAGAGGGGAAAACCCCTTGCGTTTTATGGGCACTCACAATACTCAGAAAGGTGAAGATTTTTTCAATGGAATTATTTATTACTAGAAAGTCTTGTTTTCAGCAGAACTGTTTTACATCATTGTAAATAAGTAGGTCCTTACTTGATGTTTTCTGTCTCTGTACCCTCTTACAAATGACTGGATTATTATTGCATTTTTCAGCCTCCGCCTTTCTTCCTGTAAAGCAAAGCACGAAAATCAAACTCAATGTTGTGGAACTGACTCTTAATTTTTACAATTTTATCAAATATATTTGTATTCAAAAGGATTTTTTTTAAATGAAAATTAAGCATTAATCATGAGTAAAATAAAGTGTTTGAAGGTTTGCATCTGATACACATATATCGGTGAGAAAGCTTTTTATGTTTTTGATTGTGAATTTACCATTAAGATATTGTAAAAGAATTTTTAATACTCAATAAGTATGTAATACTACAGAAATCAAAAGAAACACATTTGTATTTTATTAGACAAAGTCTTAAAACGCTGAATTCAAATTCAATTACACCATTCCTCTTTCTGCATAGAAGAGCTAACACTGAAGAACTGCTTGTTTTCATTCAAATAATATACCAGTATTATGAGCCTGGTGCAGCTTGTAGGGAAAAAAATATAAACTACAAAAAAAAAATTTATTTGGAGATAATATTGCTGTCAAAAGGAAAATGAGGCTTAATGCTTGAAGCCCAGGAGCACAATAAGGAAATTAATAAAAATTCTTGCTCTCTCCTTCAAACCAGACATAAAGTGAGTCATTTTATGTAGTAGCTAGAAAGAGCAGTTAAAATCATCCCTTTACTACAGCTCGCTCACTTTCTGAGGAACTGAAAGCCTTCTTGCTTCAGGTACCATGGAAAGATCACTCATAAGTCCCCTGACTACACCCCCAGCACATCCCATCACAGTAAACATCTAAGGGAAGTGGCTACTTTAATTTGGTTTCTAATAATGTCCACACAGTTTCTTAGGGCATGAAAGAGGGAAGTGAATCAAGCAGTTGATCATGAACCTAGAGTTACACAGCAGTGGTTGAGGAAGGGAAAATAGGAAGATCAGAGAGCAAAAATCAGAGAAGCCTGCTTTGAGAAGAGAAATTTTAACCTATTCAATCCTTGAACTACGAGTCCATAATTCTGAAGCCACCAAACAAAACGCCAAAAATATTTTTCAAGTTTATGTGACCTTTCCCACATGTATTTGAATGAAATCTATGAACTCGAAAAACAATTATTTCTAATTTATTTTGCCATAAAGACACAGCCAACTTCAGAGTGTAACCTGAACTGACCGGAGAAACACCAGATGAATTTGCTATCAGATGCCTATTCTGGTTTTCTTACAAACCCCCGGTTCCTAAAGGAATTTCTCTGAATATGCATATACTTGAAAGACACTAATTACCTCTAGAGTGTGGACCAAAATTAAAATTTTGATAGGCCAAAGCATATTTTTCTCTCCAAAATATCTAACAGTAAAAGCACACAGCATGGGGGCAAGCAGGAGAGAGTTTCAATTAGAGAGAGGCATTGTCTCTTCATAATCAGAATGCAATGCCTGAATAAAAAGTAAGCACGTTCTCCTTTTCTCTAGATACAGGTTTTATTCTAGAATACATAATAGTCAATTAGTGACCCATAATTGCAAAGGTTTTAAGTCTGAGGTCACTGCTAAGATTCTGCTACAGGCATTTTTTTAAAAGCCATAACTGATTTTATTCTCAGAGGTGCCATTCATTTTGTGACAATCTGATACGTGCCACAGAAAACCGTCGCAAGTACGTGTGCACATACACAGATACGTGACTGCATCAGCCACGCAGCAGACAGGATTAAGGAACTCAGTGGGTTATTTTGATGTATGGCAAAAGGTTTATGAAGCGAGAAGAAAATCTTTCTGCTTATGTCGGTAAGGACTCACTGATCATAAATGTGATTCATAACACAGCATTCTGAACTATCTGGTGAAACCCCAGTAACTTCATACTTAAACTTGGTCTGTAATTATACATCCAGGTTGGAAAGAAAAAAAGCAGTAATTATCTTCAGAAACAGAGGAGCCACTGCAGAACCTGTATTTAATCTCACAAAGGTCAAATACATCTCTAAGGACCAAACAGCTGTTTTCTTGATTAGCTTGAAAACTACATAGTTACACTTTTAAAATCATTTTTAAGACCAAAATTGTTTCTACTCATATCAGAGAGGAAAAAAAATGTGTATATATATACTTTAATTCTACATTACTAAATTTTGTTTTCATATTGTCACTTATATTATTCTTTTTAAAATGGTATTTTTTTCTTTCAATGCTTATTCCAGATTGAATTACCCATGGCAGTAAACTTCCATCTCAAGCCAAGTACTAAGATATCCTCAAGTCTCACACATCAGCCTCACCACTGCTTCTCATTGCTCCTCAATTATCAGGTGATTTCAAAGCACTTTAGATGCATTCAAATATGGTAATTTTGATTCTACCTCCACAAAACCGAGGCACACACTGAGGAAGTGAATTCCTGAAGGAAACCATAGCCAAACCAGGAGCAGAAGACAATCTGCCGAGACTAACCTGTAGTAATAGACTATGAACAAGGCAAAAAAAATGCAATTTACTATCCAATACCCATCTTTTCTCAACAAAAATTAGATCCAATGAGCACCAAAATTAAAGGAAAAAATCCCTTTGCACCCAGTTCATGCTTAACTACCTTCTTTTGAGATGAAAATCACTTCTGGGAAGTATCTTAAAAGCAGTCAGTTTGTAGTAAGCTGGAAGACTATGTGGAACTTGCAAACTGAAAACACCCCTGGGTAAGTACAACTGCAGGAGAATAAAGTACTTTGGACTGCAAATGTTACTACATCAAAGAAAACTCCAGTGTGCATGCAAACGCTTACAGTCTACTTTACCTCTCGTTTTCTCCTCTCTTCCTGAGTACGATGCAGGAGAGAAGCCTTTTCTTCCTAAAAAGCACAAATAAAGATACAATTGCATTTTCATTCAAACACAAGACTCAAATGTGTTCATATTTAATCTAGTCTTCACTTTGGGGATCGTCCATTATGTGTAGTACACCAAACACTGGAGAAAACGAAGGGATTATCATTTTCTGCTGTTACAAATGCATGCAATGCAGCCCTCTCAAAAGCACAGTGACAAGGGAAGCTATGTAAAAAGAAAAGCAATGGGCAAACAGCAGCAAACTGTACTGATCCCTGTCCAGGTTTGTGTTCTCACCATCCCAACAATCTAGGTAAACACCACCCCTTTACAAATGGGGGAGCTGAAACGTAACAGGTTCCCAACCCACATGTAGTACCACATGTTTATGGAGCATTTTCCTTGCTCGGAGCGTACTAAGTCAGTGGCCCAGGTGCATACAGCAAGTTGTGGCACGTTTGAAGTAATCACATACCATTGTCCCAAAGTCTCATGCTTTTGCCTGACTTGCAAAAAGCATCAAGCTCTTATATTTACTTATCCTTTTCATCAAAACTTGTCCGGAAAAATATGTCAAAACAGCCACATTATCTAAATGGTAGGAATTTGTCTTCTAAAATTTTGAACTCTTCACCCAAAGTAAGGCTACAAACCAAAACTTTCAGGAAGTGGTCTCTCCAATAGAGAAAAAGAAAAGAACAGATACTTATTCACAAGGCCTCTGAGGCCATTACAACAGAAAACCTGGGCATTAGATTTTAAAGCACAATCTGAAATCAGTACACACATTACAAAATATAAACAAAGCTTTATTTGCAAGATGGATGGTTCTGTGGCATTTCCAAGGAAATATACAAATTAATTCATTTTTGATGAATATTCAGCTCCCACTGCAGACAATGAGAGTTGAAAGCACCCTGGTACCTCCCCAAATCCAGTCTAAAACAGACAAGATTTAAGGAAACAGACAAGATTTTTTGTTTCTACTACACATATAAAAACTCTTTTTTTCTCAGTCAAGCTGAAAATGTACTGTACCTAAATACATGAAAATGAATTTGAAGTTGGCAAACAAATGTTTATGAAATACTTACCCACATCTAAAACAACTGTTCTGAATATTTGCAATGTCTATACACAGATACAAAAACTGAGGACAAAACTCTTCTGCGGGTTTTTTTTTTTTGGACACAGAAGAATACAGGGGAAGTAAGGTCATGATTCTCCTGGTTTCATTACCACAGAAAATACTTTAACACAGACCACCAAGAGAGAATGAAAAAAGAAAAACACAGATGCAAAATGGGAATGTAAAACTGGGTTTGTATTTCATATCATTTACTGGAGCAAGCTTAAAGAAAAAAAATATCCCACAAGAAGGTTAACCATCTTTTCCTCTAAAGACAGTATTTATGGCCAAAGACACCACTAACTACAGCTATTGCCCTCTAAAGACAGGGGTTATTCCATGTGTTAAACACAGTATAAACAAATCATAACATAATCTATACATAAGACGACGTATCTCCACTCAAGCAGTAGGAAAGGCTCCAGGTCTGCTTGGTAACATGAGGCAAGAGGTTCTGACCTCACACACAAAAGACAAAATAATGTACTAAATTAAGAAATAACCAATAGATGGCTTAAAGTTTCAGGACTCTCTTAAAATTTATTACTTCTTTTTCAACAGCTGATAGCCAATGCATTAAAGTTAGTAAAACGTTCCCATTTAAAAGTGATCAGCGTCATCTCTTCAATGTGCTTGGAGAGTTTCATTCCGTGGGCAGCACCATGTAGAGAGCATTTCTGCTTAGAAGTAATGTTGCTGAATTTGCCCTCACCCTTCAGGGCAGACTGAAAGAAAAAGCAAAGGAATGTACAGAAAAGGGAAGGCAAATTGCTACATTTAAGTGGAAAAGAGAATGGTACCCAAAAAAAACCCCAAACACAGTAAATGCAAGGGATTAGTAGATAAAGGAAAATAAATTGCCAGGGAGCTTATCAGAAACATAATTTTAAGTATTTGAAGAGGGGGTGGGATATAAGAGGGGAACATATCTTCACATTATCACCAGCTTTGCACTGATCAGGAACCAGGTCTCTGAAGCAAGGCCTTTTTAAACCAATCCACTTTTAAGAACATAACAAAACTTTAAGCTTTCAGTCAATGTCAGATATTGAGTATTCGTAAAGAAAAACACCAACTTGTTAAAGTACAAATTAAATACAATAGAGGAACTGTCTTTAGGCAGTGAATAAAATATTCAGCTAAGTACATACCACCTTTAAAAAAATTACTACAGGTCAAGTAATACTGTTGTTCTTGTTCACCAGACACACACAAATCAGAAACGAATGGAACCATAAGCACGGTAACAAATATATTTAAATTAAATGCAAGAAAAATGTATCTCAGAGTTATTCAATGCAACTGGAATGCACTGTCTCTTCAGAAATTAAAAAGTAGCAGTAAATATGCAATAAAAAATAAACCTGCTGTGGGAAGGAGATTAAAATAATTATGAAATAATCCTCCTCTTTGCCTACAAAGGGCCTTCTAACAACATTATTTCTTAAGGACAGTTAACTGCATAGTCATCTCCGAAATGCCCCCTGACTTACCTCTTAATCACCAGAACAGTGAAAAAGAGCTTGCTCAGTGGCTGGTTGTGAATGACAAAGGCACTACTGTAAGTGATGTACATTTGACAGCCTCCATCTATATGGTCACATGACTGCTGACAACTACAGCCACTGCTCCACCACCTCTTCCTGCCCGCACAGCCCATAGTGATCACATCGGCTGACAGTGACTTCCAAAGATCACACCTAGCTCATTCCTACTCTCTATCTCCCTTGCCTCACTTCTGTGATGGTCATGCTATCTTCTTCCTTCACCTGCCAGACAGGCAGACATGAGGTATCAAGTCTACCTGTCAAGGGAGGCAGGCAGACATTTCACAGAATGGTTTGGGTGGGAAGGGACCTTAAAGACCATCTAGTTCCAACTCCCCTGCCATGGGCAGGGACACCTTCCACTAGACCAGGTTGCTCCAAGCCTCATCCAGCCTGGCCTTGAAGACATCCAGGGATGGGGCACCCACAAGTTCTCTGGGCAACCTGTTCCAGTGCTTCACCACCCTCTCCGTGAAGAATTTTTTCCTGATCTAAAGCTAAGTGCTTTCAACTCAAACCTGTTACCCGTTACACATACCCATACCCCCACTTTAGTGGGAATGAAGCACTAGCTTGTCTTGATTCCTTCAACCTTAACCGAAAAAGAGCAAAAAGCCATTTACTGAACCAAACCCCCAACATTTTGTGTGATATAGTCTTCTTCCTTCAGGAGCTAGACCTCCGAAGCACAGGTCAGGGAATACATTGCCCATGTGTTTCATGCCACGTGTAGTACAGCAGACGATACTGGTAAAGCCAACGAACCTCAGGCTCTAGCGCACCAGCTGCACGACCTCGAACAGCCCGATGTGGGAAGTTTTCTTCACCAAATGTGAGGCACGACACAAAGAAGCAAGTAAAGAAACAGTATGTAACAGCAAAACACAATGTGACAAGGATGATGACTCAAAGTGTAAGAGAGTAGGGGGAAGAGGTGAAAACAAGGAAGCAGATGGTGGACAGTATACAGAAAGGAAAGCTTGTGACTACCATCAAATAAATGTTAGGTATTATGCAAAATGTTAATTTATACATCAGCATAAAACTGCTGTGTACCATCACAGCAAAGTTCAAAGTTGCAGCATTGCTGTTAACAGCCCAGCTGATGAGAACAGCCGCATCCAGCAGTGTAACAATGCCAATGTCAGAGCTTCAAACTCCACTTAAATATGTAATTTTTAAAAAAATTAAAACTGCTTTCTTGTCCTCGTTTTGCTGAAATATGCTATTTTGTTGCAAAAGTATGTCTACACAACTCCTAGCCTTTACATATCCTAGACAAAGCCTGAGTAACAAATACAATGATTACAATTCTTTTTGTCCTGCGTTTTAATACCTTACATTGAGAGTGATAATAAACTTTTAGCCCTCTTGGCTCAAAATTCAGCTTCAGAGAAAAAAAAAAAAGTCTAAAAAATAATTGTTTTCAAATACTTGTAGTATTTGTTGACTCTTAAAGTCTGAGATTGAACACTCCTGGTCAGTCATATTAATTAAGCTATCTTAGCTCCACACAAGTAAATTTAAAACCTAAATATGCTAGATGCCATGTGAAACTGAGTAATTATTTTTGGGTACTGTCTGAACAGTGAGCACATTTTAAAAAATAAGAAAGAACCATTGATGCAAAAGATTAAATGTTATTAATAAATGTTTGAGATTTGTTTTTAAAAACAGGGGTTTATTTTCCTTTGTCAGTTAAGAATTCTATTTTATGTAACATTACAATAGATCATGGAAAGTCCAAGGCATGACTCTTGGGAAATTTTCATGGAAAAACATATAAGCACTTCATCTTTTAACTTCCGGGGACAATTATAAAATCTTGTATGGTTTTTATCTACAAAACCATGGAACTTGCATCTTTTTTCTTTCCTTAAAATGAGAAACATGACTTTATAGCTGAATTTAGTTTGAACCACAAAAAAATCAGTAACTCCCAAAGCAAAAGAAGTGACCTAAGCAATTACATAATTAGTATAGATAGTAAGTTCAGCAAATACAAGGAAGACTTTGTAGTATTCATTTGTAGACATCAAAGGTGGACACTGGGAGACATCCCCCTCCAAAGCGGTACGCAACGATGTTTCTAGTTCCCAACATTTTTAGACAAGATAAACTCCAGTTCCACTGGGGGTTTTTTTCTGAATATTAAAAGAAAATAGCATTTTAAAAGACTTACAATGTCTTGAACTGAACCTAGACAACCTGTATTTCAATGGACACACAGCTCAGCCAGCCTGAGTAAAACATGTTCAGCAGCTTGAAAAATTCTGCTTTAAACCAGTTTGTGACTCTTCAAACCTCTGATTATTTACATCATGATCAATTTTATACGTAGAAAAGACCATCTTCCAGAAGAAGGTGTTCTAAAGTACTTAAAATAGGCCCAGAAAGATGCATTTGGCCAGGGAGAGCCTGGCTTCACCGAAATCGATGTCACAGTGCTTGCTAGAAAACACCTCAGCACTTTAGCTCAAATGTTTCCACAGAACACAGGGAGTATCTAGAGCCACGTTTATCACGGTAGCTGCAAAGCCACACACAGTGGAACCAGGACATGACTATTTTCTCTTTTCTGGAGAAAGAAAATAGCACATAACTGAAAATAACAGTGTAATCACTGCTGTCAGCTAACTACAACTCCATTATTTGTAGCTTCCTTTCAATGAACAGAATTTTAAACGTCAATGAGGGAAAAAAAAATCCACAAGAATTTAGTATGCATTAATTATACAGATTCCTACTTACAGTCATTATTTTACAGCATGATGGTCTTTCCACACCACAGATCTGATATCCAAACAGTATTTGAAGATCTGGGCTTTTACATTTCAGTGTTGTGGACAAAACACAGAATGAAGTTATCTACTACCACAAGGACACTTGCATGTGCCTTATGGGAAGGGAGCAAAGCACTGCAAGTCTTTCTCACCATTCCAAACCAAATTGTAAATTTGTAATTGTAATCTAGAAATCCTGTGCTATAAATCCCTAGCAGCATTTCGTATCAGTTGTGACCTGGTGTAGGTTCAAATAAGATATAATAAAACTTATATAAAACATGTAATACTTCCTACCTGAAATTATCTACAACTTTCCTCAATCAGTAAGAGAAACAAACACTGTTCTTCAAATGTCCCATCATTGCTTAAATCCAACTTACATCTATCCCCATAAACAATGCCAACCTGTGCAGATCTCTCCATACAGTGCTACTCTTACAGCCCACTGTTTCTAAATCATTGATTTTTATTCCACAAGAAGTTATTTCATGAGCAGAATACATGACAGCAAAGAGCAAACAAGGTACTTCTGCAGTTCTACCTCTGCACCTGAGCTGAGAGTGAGGGAGGGAAACATACAGATTCTTTAAAAAGTCCATATAAAAAGATATGAAGAAACTTCTTAAAATACAGATGGAGTCATCACTATTTGTTCATTATTAATTTTCCATGTCTTCCACAAAAACAAAACCCAAACAGAAACTCAGTGAAGTTGGTTTCAGTTTCACTTTCGTCTATGTATTACATATCTGTAATCTGTATTACAAATTCCTGAAAATGAAGATTTTTTAAAAAATCCCATATTGTGTTATAATTTTAAAATACTCTATTTTACTTGGGATTTTTAAAAGCATGCATTAGATATCTCAAGTGATACTGTAAATTTGCCTTCATATTTTTTAACCCTTTTTTCCGGTTAAAAGGCTTACAAGATATCATAAATACATTTCACAACGTAAACGAGTAACGTGGAGCTACAGAGCCCCTCGTACCTCTCAGCACAGGCATGGGGATCCCCTGCATGAATGTACTGAACGACTAGTACCTTGTTTTTTTCTTAATGCTGGTAAAATCAATAAAGGAACTCTAGGCCTGATCTTACCAAAACAAGCTGACACAGTTAAACAGATTCGGCAGTGTGTCACCAAGAGTCCAGCCTCATGATAAAATTAGTTAAAGCTGCCACCAGAAGGCATGGTGACACTCCACTCTGAAGAAATATGTTCCCTCTAGGGGACACAAAGGGTGGGCAGGGAACTACCCAGGTGAGGAACCATCTTGTGCCAGTCCACTGCACAGACTGGGCTGGCTCCTTCCGGACTGCACCCCAAACCAACTCTTCAGACACACCTCTTTTCAGGCCTGACACATCACAGAAATTCTGCAGCCTCAGCCTTTTAGGCAACAATTGCTGTCCTGTACAAAGAGTCCATCAGTAATTCAAGATGTTCTCATACTGAACTCCAATAACAGTGCTCATTTTTGAAGGCTATTTGACTTCAGAAGTAAAAAAAAAAAGTTTTGCCAGTTATAATTAAAACTAAATCTGAAAATAACTTTTGAAGAACCTCATAAAGAAGGGAATCATATTTTTAAGGTGACAATAAGCACGCCCAAAAAAAAAAAAAAGGCACCACAAAAATTAACTTATCCACTGTAAATAAAACCAGTATATATAGCCTCAAACAAATGCACAGCTCATGCAAATAGTACAAATGAATAAGATTTTTGAGAGTAGACATGGAGAGTAAAAAGTCCAAACACTGACAACACACTCCACTTTACACTTATGTACAATGCAATATTAAAATACTACCATAATGTTCTGAAAGATCAGTCAAGAAGGATAGCCATTTAGAGAACATTCATTTTGGAATCAGGATTTTAACAAAAATAGGTGATACTTTTTTGGCAAATGTTTGGTTGAAGTGCCTCTCTACAGTATCTGCAATTCAGACCACCATAACACACATGAACATAAGATGTCAACGGTGTAAAAACAAACCAGAAGCACTCTGCTTTCATAATTCAAAAATGCCATCAGTATTAGTGGTGAGAAAGCACACTACCTTTCCAACTGCCATCATGCCACAAGTCCCCCATCATGTATTTCCATCGTTGTGTCTGCACTGATAGGACCCCTCACCAGGCCTAAGTAAACACTACCAACACCCGTGGCAATGTCAGGGTGTCAACGCATGTGACCTGTGACCAGCACGGTCACTGCTTGCAGCTGCAATTATATTAGCAAAACAACTACTCCAAAACAAACCATCGGCAAACCTGACTATCAGAAGGGTTGTATCCACATCAGGAAGACTGCTAGCGTCTTTAGCACTGACTAGCTCCTCAAACTGGAGTCCTGCTTTCATACTGGAAGAGTTTTGCTAATGTAGGTACACAGGTGCAACAACATTCAGGAAACTTCCTGAAACTGGGCCAAGAGTTATTCTTAGCACATGCATACAGCCTGCACCAGTATTTCTGAGATGTGCTTTATTCCACCAAAGGAATCAAAACAGGCAGTACTAAGCACCCAGCTAAGAGCATCACAGAGGTGCAGGGATGGAACTACACATTATCTTTCTAAAATTATACACATTTGAGAGGGCAAGGGGAGTTGTCAAAGCACTTTTTTTTTCCACCATGTGCACAGAAAGCTGAAACAGGTTACAAATCAGCCTCCTGTAGAACTGAAGCCTATAGGTATGAGAAACATGATCACAAGGAGTCTGTGACCTGAGATAATGAGAAGCCCAAGGAACCCACATAAACACTTGCTACACCAATCTCTGCTGGAGTACATTTACACAGAAGTTCAGTACATTACATCTGACAAAGTAATTCTTAGTATTGTTTAAGTAAGTTCTTTCATTAGTACTGTACATAGTTTCCAAAAATAAGCGGCTATTTCAAGGGCATTCTACAGTGTCCATATAACCAAAGCTGCAACTGACTGATTTGCATCGATGCAGCACAAGCACTTCAGTGCACCAATGCAAAATCGTGAAATCTGTGGACCAGACTGTACCAATCTGATCACGAACGTCAACCTCTGCATTGGACGGAATGAAGGTTATGTATCAATTTCGGCTTCCACTTCTTTCACCTTTTCATATTTGCCCCTGGAAATTTATAGACCTGGCTAACAATAAATTTGTCCCATATAATTAAAATAGACAGGATTCTGCTGAATTTTCATTAAGAATTCAGTAGGTATGAAAGAAGATACTATGACAGTTGTTTGCTTCCATAGAAGGAAGCATGTTCTGCAAATGACACTATTAGCAACTTAGTGCCAAAAGTTGCAAAGTACCTAAAGGGTACACGTGAGGACCAGGGCCTGTTCTGCCAATTCCTATTTCAACTGGGGAAAACATTGTATTTTTGACTCATGCAATGCCACTGTATGTAGTCCAATGAACTGAAATGTCTTAAGATAAACAGAAGATGACTTAGCACTCTGGTATTAATATCACATAGTATGGTATTTTAGTTCAGTTTCCTAACCGTACTGCCAACTCTTAAGTTTCAGAGAGCCAAACTTGCTTACAGCGCACAGTAACAAAAACTTAGACTTTTTTCAAATTCAAAAGACTCAAAAATACTAACAAAAACATTCAATAACTTCCTACACAATCACATCCAATGGTAACATGAGAAATCAAGTATTTCGGCAGTAAATTGAAGTGGCCCTTACAAAGCAGGCCACTTCTAAAGACTTTGTCCTTCCTTTCTCTCGTTCTTCGGCAGTTCCATGCCCTTCAGTGTCTGACTAAACATTTGACCACCCTGTCCAATCGAGATTTACATAAACCACTCCGCTCCTTTCCCATCGATAAACACAAGGAGATTCAATAGTCTGCTACAGCAGACAATTAACTGCTACTCACCCTGCACAGACAAATCGACTGGACTTAAACTTGGCAGAGGAAAGCCGAAAGCCAAACCTGTGACCCAGCACCCCTCGCTCACGTGGACGACGCTCCCCCAGCAACCTGCATTGATCTCGAGTTGTGTAAGGCTGTTCCCCCCCACCTCTCCTTTCCCTTTGGAGAGAAAGGACCAGAGGTCTCCGGTTCCTTCCCTCCTTCACCCCGGGAGACGAACACCCCGGGAGGTGCTGCCAGCCACAACAAACCGGATTGCTTGCAGGGAGGACGGGCGAAGGAGACATTTCCTCGCTTCCCACAATTCTTACTACACTACAAGCCTGGAGGGGGGTGTGTGGCCTGATTCGGGGGGAAAAAAAAAAAAACCAAAAACAGCACAGAGCGAGGGAGATCAGAGACAAACACATCGTCAGGAGGGGAGGGTTCTTCCCCTCTATTAAACCTTAGTCATAGCTGCCCCCATTTCTGAAGGCCCAGTGGTAAAATAACGATAGTACAAGTAGAGGCGGGGGCCGAGGGAGCGGACACAGACGCAAACGCGGGGACACACAGGCGCCGTTCCTTACCTTCCTACTCGCTCCTCCGAGGGACACCTTGGGCCTTGTTTTGAAATCCCCTTCAAAGCTAAACATCTTTACAGCTTATCCCATCTAGAGCGGGATCCGGCCCCCCGAGCT